AAAAAAAAAAAAAAAAAAAAAAAAAAAAAAAAAAAAAAAAAAAAAAAAAAAAAAAAAAGACTGTTTCGAGCAGAGAGACTGTATAGAGCGAGAGCAAGAAAGAGAGGGGGACTGTTTCGTGCCGTGGGAAAAGAACGAGGAGCTGCAGGTCGGGCTCTCTTGACCGCGTGCTATGCATACCCGTAATAATACGGCTAAGGTAACGGCGCGAGGAGGAAGAGAAGGTGCAGGAGGAGGAGGTGGAGTAGCAGCATCAACTGCAGTGATGGTGAAGCGCGAGTGCACCGATGTCTTCTCGGACATGGTAGTGTGAAGTTGCGGTAATGGTATTATTACTGGTGCGCCAGTAAACTGTACAGTGGTGATGATACATTGTTGTTGATCAATCGTATACAGAGAAAAAGATATACTGCGAGCAGCTGCGGGTGTGTCGTGTGCGCGTGCAGTGTGACTCGAGTGAAAGAAGCTGCGCTCCGCAGAAAAAAAAAAAAAAAAAAAAATAGGAGGAGGAGAAGAGCGCACGGGTCGCTGGATGATGAGATCGTGACGATCGTGTAGGACCCCTCCGAGAAGGCCAACCTACCTACCCACCCTCCCCCGTCATTCTTCGCTCCGGGCCTTGGAAGGAGAGGCCTGCCATTCGCGCGCACAAACACGCGGCTCTCCTTTCAGCCATGGGAGATAAATCAGCGAGGGGCAGAGGAGGAGGAGGAGGCGGATCATCGGTTCTCCTGCCGCTGGTCCTCCTGGGCTGTTGCGCCATCGTCCCGGCCGGACAGGCGCGCAGCATCAACGGCCTCGAGACGCCTCGCGGCTGCAACTGGCGGCACGAGGACGACCGCTCCCAACAGACCCTCGTCTGCCGGTTGCGCTCCATATCGGGGGCTGCCAGCCTCGTGGGCAACATCTCGACCCAGCAGGCCGAGAACGTCTTCTCCCTCGGCTTCGAGTGTAGCGAGGGCTTGTTCCTCGACAGCCAGCTCGAGGAGGGACCCGGAGCCACTGTTGGCCCGGCCAGCTACTTGGGCGCCCTGCCTAGGCTGGAGCGATTGCGCCTCGAACACTGCAAGGTCCGCAACCTGCCTGGTGGGGCCTTCGCCTCGGCGCCCGGACTCCGTAAATTGACGCTGCGGTCCCACAGCGCCGACTGGTCCTCGGCGGCTCTCGATCTGCACAGGGATGCGCTTCGTGGTCTGCCCGAGCTACGGGAACTCGACCTGGCCGAGAACAACGTGTGGAGCTTACCGGGGGAGTTTCTCTGTCCGAGTCCGAGTTTGGCTAGTCTCAACTTGACGCGCAACAGGTTGCAGGACGTGGCCTCGCTCGGACTCGCCGATTGGGCCAGCGCTTGCGCCCAGAACCTGGAGGTCCTTGATCTTAGTTCCAACGAGTTGAGTGCACTGCCGGACAACGGTTTGGCTGGTCTTCGTGCGCTCACCGCGCTGCGTGTGCAGGACAATGCTATCGCGGCCGTCGGAGATCACGCGCTTGCCGGTCTCCACAATCTCCGATCGTTGAATTTGTCGAGCAACCGGCTGGTGGCTCTGCCGCCCGAGCTCTTCGCAAAGAGCCGCGAACTCCGGGAACTCGTGCTGAGCAACAACTCGCTGGCCGTGCTGGCACCCGGGCTTCTGGACGGGCTAGGTAATTAATTTTTTATGCTCATTTTGTGTCGAAAAACACCTATTCTTTTTGCAAAAATGAACACAAGTATTTTGAAGGGCACTGTGTTTACGGATGATTGTTGGAAAACCTTATATAAATGGGCCCATGGGGGATAATAGATATTGGTTTTGTACTGCACTTGCGCCTGAAAGTGAACTCGCATTCTTCGCAAACTCGTTTTCCCGATACGCGCATTGTTCTCTCAGGGTAGATGAACGAAAGATAATACTTTTCCGGGATATTTCTTTACAATCATTACTGCATGCAACTCAAGATCTCGACGTTTATTGCGTCTTCATTGCTACATGTGCCCGTTTTTTTTTTTTTTTTTTTCTTTTTTTTTTCTTTTTTCACTGTACATAGTTGCGGACTCACGTTTTATACGTTGCGCGTTTTCCTGGTTCGTTTCGAGCGGACGGACGGACTTTCGTTGAAATGCCTTTCGCTTGGTAAGTCCACCACACATATACAATTAATACAATACCATACACACGTATACGAGAAAATTGTGCGTAAAATCAATTTGTGCCACGTGATGTGCGGATCGCGTGTGCATTGATCGGTCAGGCACGACGAAATGACTGTGTCTACTTGTAATAATATTGTAAATACTTGAACATTGTAACTGTAACATAGGCTATAAAGAAACGAAAAATCACACGTGAATGCGACTTGAAAGTTTACAATATGAAACCTCGTACTCATCGGCTCTTGTGTATACCGTCACGATATTGTATGGGTCGCCAAGACCGCGTGAATGGCTCATCGTTAGGAAGAAGTCGAGGGGGAAAAAAAAAACGGCCCGCGTGAAACTGAAGAAAGCGATGTTCCGAAATTCAATCCTCGTTACGATTTTCACATATTCTTGTTTTTTTTTTTCGCCGACTCATCGGCGCCGGGCTACCATATACACGTCGTGCTCATCCCTTTTAGCCAGAAACGCGCATATACCTATATCATCCTGCAGGTATACTCGTATGTACGTATGTATATATATATATTACCTGTACGATCAAACGTGACGTTCCGAATGCATTCCTCGCTCTCGCGCCGAAGGAGAGGAGGATGAGAAACAAGCTCCTAGGAAAGAAAGGGAAGGAGGAGGAGGGACAGCTTCTCGCATATCATTGTAGAAACAAGACTGTTATTCCTCCTCTGTGTGTGTGTGTGTGTGTGTGTATACGGGCTCCGGTGTTGGCGAGAAGGTGCCGTGTAACGTTATTTTTATTTCGTCTGCCTTATTCCTCCTTTTCCTATACGTATATATGCTCACCGTCTCTTTTTTTCCTCTCTCTCTCTCTCTCTCCTTATAACTCTCGAGTCGACAGACAGGACTCCTCGCACCTTCATTCCTACCGGCCCGTGTGTGTTGGCTCTTCTTTCTCTTTCTCTCTATCGCGCGCATACATATATAATATATATACTTACAAAGAGTGTAAAGGGTACACTGTCGGCTTGGTTTATTATTTTTCTCCCGCTCTCCTACGTTCGCGCTTTTAATGTCGCGCCAAATCAAGATCGGGCGATCGTTTAAAGCGGCGAATCGGCGCGGGATCTCGTTCCTATAAAAAAACCCATTGTACCTATACGCACATATGATACACGTAATGTTTAATATTATACGTATACCATACGGACGCGCGCGCAAACTCTATATAACAAACGGTGTATTTATATATATATTATGTGTGCCACACGCAGAGATTTTTTACACGTATATAACAAGTGTACAATATTTAATGTATCGAAAGACTGGGCTGTCCTTGTTCGTTGGTTCCTCGCCATTTGTAAGTGATATTACAAACGTACCTATATACGCACAGTACAGAGAGAGAGAGAGAGAGAGAGAGAGGACATATATATACCTTACGACAGGGGCTCGGTCGCTTTCACGCTTACTAGTGGTTTAAGAGACACGCCGTTGGAATATCTTGTGAATAATTGTGTCGAAACTAAAAAAGAAAGATAAACAAGCACGAGAGTGTACACGGAGAGAGGGAACAAGTAAACATAAAATGTACCAATAAATTATGAATACATTATATATACTTACTGATATCGCAAGTGCTGATGAAAAAAATTATGTCTGTAAATACGTAACTAAAATTTAATTGTACGAGAGAGCGAGTGAAAAGGTTACATTTGCCGCGAGGGAAAGAGAAATTAGCCGACGAATCTGGTTGTAACTTTGTACGTCACTTAAACATGTGATTCGTTGTGAGTGCCAACTCTCGGAGAAAACTTGTAATTATATATATACATCAGCGTATGAACAACTTGAATGAAAACTTTGATGAATTATTATGTATACGTGCATTCTACTGCGTTTCCGACGACGAACTTTTTTGTAAATAGTATTATTTAAACTAAAGGAAATAATGATGAAAAAAAAAAAAAAAAAGAAAGAAACTGCCGACTTGCGTATACGTAAATCTATATAAGCGAATCGATGAAGCGTGATTCTGTGTTGTATAAAATACGAAAAAGAATTATTATTATTATTATTACTATTATATATATTATATTATATTATATGAAAATTTACGAATTTCGGGCAGCCCTTGGACTCAAGAGGTGAGTCGAGGCTGCGAGTCACTAAAGAGAAAGAAAATAAAAAAGCAGTTTGTTATATGAAAAATAAAAACACCGACTTGACATTTATTTTATCATAGTCCCTCTGTCCCCCTCATTTCATTTTTTCCTCTCACCTGTGACCTTACACGTATGCATATATGTACTACTTGGATGATACACAACAGATCCTATAGCTAACTTTAATTAGCACAAGCGTCATGTCACCTTTTCCTTCTGTGTCGTTGTTGCTACTGCTCCACTGACGTAATAATTAGAGTAAAAGCAAAAAAAAAAAAAAAAGGATGCACAGTGGAGCGAGTGAGTTGACAGCAGCACAGGATAAACAAAAAACAGTGCTGGATTAGAACGTTACAGCAGGACTTGGGAATTAAAAAGCTTCACAACCTGCACCTATACTTGTGCCTTTTGTTGTCATACGTTTCCCACATTTTATTTTTTTTCCAACATTTTATGTATTCAACATCACACGAAATGAAATTGAAATTCAATCATCAGCGTCGTATGAAAATAATATTTTCTACCCACAGAGCTCGTGGGTGAATTTTAAAACACAAGGGCGTGAAAAAAAAAAAAAAAAAAAAAATCGTCGAAGGGCATCTGTGGGAAACTCTCGAGTGAGCAAAGCTCGTGTCCTTTGATTTTTCCTGTGTGTTTTTATGCGGCTTGGCTCGAATATCATCAGCGCCAGGAAAACGATCGGCAAAAAAAAAAAAAAAAAAAAGAAGAAGAAAGAAAAACATTCGCCAGTGTATATAATCAGGGTACACCTCTCGATCGTCGTTTGAAAGGATTACCATTTAATTGCTCTATCTATCGAGCCGAGAGGGAGGGGAGTGAGTGCCATACACATCAACGGCTAATGTATTTACTTTCCGCGCGTAATTATACACACGTAGGTACTTATATATATATACGTGCACACTCGGTGCCTAATCAATTATGTGCATAGCTGGGCCGACATCACCCATGCATTTATGCACAACCTCCGAGGACGATTAATGAAAATTTATGACTTTGCCTTAAATCACGTGACAATGTATAAACTCGTATGCGCAAATCGGTGCTAAATAAAACGCCGTATGAATGACCATACACCGGTGAAAATTTGTTGGGTAAAATCAACGAAGAAACAGCGGTGTTTGCGATGAGAAAACTTTGGGTTAAAATAAAAATAAAAAAAACCATCAATTATCCGGCAAGGAATGGAAATTAGAGGAGCAATTTTTTCCCCCCATCTCCCAGAGTCAAAGTTCCTAATGGTCGTAAACATCGGGGAAATAGAGCAAAACGCGGAGGGGAAAAAAAAGTATGTACAAAACTTAGGTACCGGCCGTGAAAATATGAATCCAAACTTTTCCCGCGGTCCAATGCATCATTCCGGTCCCATTAAAATTTCAACTAGCCCCGACAATAACCACAGTCCCCCCGCGTCTAATTAAAATCTCCGTCTCTCCTCCGGGCAGTAGGGAAAAAAAAAAAAAAAAAAGAATTTCGCCTTTTCCGTGGGGGCTAACCGCACAACAAAGAGTGGGAAACCAGCAGCAGCAGCAGGTAGGAGAGCGCAGTTTTCCGGGAAAAACTAATTTTCCAAGGGGACAAGCCGTAGGAGAGTAAGAGAAACTCGCAGCAGGAGAAGTATAGAGCCCGGCCAGCGCGTGCGGTCCGTTTATAAGTAAAATTTCGCCGGTGTCTCCTTTCTTCCGTGCCGGCGGACCCTTTTGTCTCCGAATTAATCGAAGACTGCACCGGCACCCGCACACATATATATACATATACCTTTTCCAGCCAACGTCCACTTTTCGGCACAGTCACTTTCCCCTTGGCACCCCTGCATCAGCACTTTTCAAGTCACAGGCTGACCGTGCCTTATTTCCTCGGCTGCAATCTCGGCTCTCTCCACGAGCGAGCAAAACTTTCCCCACCGCAGCACAGCCGGATTGTTTCAGTGCTCTAAAGCTCTCTCTCTCTCTCTCAGTATATCTATACATACCTGCGTCCCTGCGAATGTATGTAAAGTTGGCTTCCACGCAACTTCTCTCTATATACGTAATATACGTACGCAGGCATCCAACCCCCCCGAGGAAACTTTCATCCCTTTACGTTTGACAGATCGCGAACCGACTACGGCGTTATTGAGCCACTTGAAACTCCACTGTGTATTACGGAGGGGTGTATACTACGTGTATATACAAAGGAAAAATAAAAAATATAGGGGAAAACTCGGACTTGCGGCGATTCTCTGGTTCGTACGGTAATTATGCGAACCCCTACAACCCGATGCCGTTGCTTTGACGTTGCGATGAAAAGAAAAAAAAGTTGCTCTCTTCCGGGGTGGTTTTAATTTTTAATGTCTTGTATCGTAGGTATGTTGGGGTGGGACCGGCAATACGATAATAAGGTTGCATCGATGACACACGGTGTATGGGTACCCGATTGATTAATCAATTACATG